GACAAAAACTTGACATTTTAAATCCTGTCATTTTTCACGGGCGTGAGATTTTTTTTTTATTTATTTTATTTTATTTTTACTTTAATGGTGTTGCATAATTTTTTTTTTTTTAATTTCCTCTTATTGAAAATCGAAATTAATGGCGTAATTAATTATTCGTTTAATGTTTTTATAGAATCGACATAAAATTTTAATTGGCATCCTTGCCATTTACACTAATTTTATTTATTTTGTATTTATTTATTTATTTATTTTTTCAAACATGGATTTTATCGATTTCATTTTCAAACGAATAATATAACGATTTGCAAAAAAAAAAAAAAAAAAAAAATGGAAAAAATTGCATTTACTTGTTAGCATAAAATAATAATAATAATAATAATAAAAGTTTTGGGTTGTTGTTGTTGTTGTTGTATTATTTATTTTTTCATTTTTTTTTTCGTTTCGTTTTTTTTTTTTATTTGCCTCCCCTCAAGGTCAAGGTTAATGTTGTAGAAAGTTTCAATTTTTGCTCCCGAGGGTTCTTATTTTTAAATTTTTATCAAAGCAACATTGGGGGGATTTCCCAATGACTAAATTGCTTTTCAGTTTTTAAATTTGCTTCATTTTTTTTTTTTTTTCACATTTTCTTTTTCATATTTTTTCTTTCATGATAAATTTCATTTTTTATTTCAGAAAACATTACTTCGTATCGTCCTGTTGAAATAACATCCCCGTATCCACACATACAGCAAAAAGGTAAGAAAATTTTTTCTCTATTTTTTTTTTTGGACCTGACTTTCTTATTATTATTATTATTATTATTATTATTATTATTATTATTATTATTGCTATTGTTTTTACTTTAAAAGTGTAAACAACAACGTATAAAAGAAAAACCACCTTATGGTAATAAATTGCGTGCATTCATGCATTATTTACGTTTTTTTTTCTTTTTTTTTTTTATTTATTAAATATGACGTCACATTTCAAGAATAAATCAATTCGTTCGTTCGGTCAATTTATTTTTTTCGTTTCGTATTGTAAATGTGAAAAAAGGTGATTTATAATTCAAATTTTTTAGGCTCTTTGTTGTTGTTGTTATCTCTCTTTCTTCTTTCTCGGAGAACTGGAGAAAGAGAGAGAGAGAGAGAGAAAACAAAAAAAAAGGTAGAAATAATGTGCGATTGTTTAGAATTCGTTTCAGGTTTTTGGTATTTCCAGGTTGTTTATTTGAAATAAATTCTCCGTCGGATGCTTTTTAGATGCAATTTGCTTTCCCCCCCCTCCCCCAAATCTTTCGTTAGTTTTTTCTTTTCGGCACATTTTGAGGTTACGAAACGTATTCGAAGTCGAAAATGTTCGAATTGATTTTAATTACATTGTCGTGTTGAACTAATTTTGTATTTGCTGACAGTTGAAAACTACAAACGGACTAAAGTTTAGGTGATATTATTATTATTATTATTATTATTATTATTATTATTATTATTAATATTTTTCCCTTTTGTTGTTGTTTTGATTTATATCGAACATTCGATTTTTACGGCGGGAAAAACAAAAAATCAAAATTAAAAATAGTAAATTTTTTACTAACTCGTTAAATAAAAGAAAAAAAAAATAAATAAATATAATAAATTTTATTGCAAAAAGTCATCACTTGAAAGGTCCTGCCCCCCCCCCCCGTTATTATCAATTTCTTTAAATAGAACGATAAAAAAATAAACAAAACAAAAAGAGAGAGAGAGAAAAACTATTTTTGTAAACAATTTTATTGTATACCAAATGACCTTCTTCTAATCAATCTCGTAAACTTTTTTTTTTAAAATGGCGAAAATATATCGGGAAAAAAAGGCGCACATGAAGGAAAACCTAAAAATAAAATGGGGGGGGGGCTTCACATAAAAAAAAAAAAAAATTTTTTTTTTTTATCAGTGTTTTTATTTATAGACGCTTTTTTTGTTCGTTCCTGTCATTATCGTTATCTAAGAGGCGTCGTTTTAATTCATTTCTTAATTCTCTCTCTCTCTCTCTCTCTCTCTCTCTATTGTTTTCCCTTCTCTTTCCTTCATTTTAAATTATTATATTAATTAAATATTTATTTCACGGTTTTTATTAAATCACCAAAAGATGGTTTATGTACAAGTTGGGATAATTGAAAATACGAGAAAAAAAAAAAAAAAAAAATTATTGCGATTGAGGCCATTCGTGTGAATGAGAGTTCAAGGTTTTACATCTATTTTTATATGATTTCATTGTACAAAAAAAGAATTTGAAAAGTTTTTCTTTTTTTATTTTGCTTTAATCAAAACCCGCCCGCCCCCCCCCGCCCGCCCAAAAAGGGAAATGAAATAGTTTTGAAAAAAGAAAAAATTGGGTCATTCCTGGGGGTAAAGAAAAACGTAGTTGTTTTTATTATTATTATTATTATTTCGTTTTTTTAATTTGGACGCTTTTGTCTGAGTTTTTTTGAAACAATTTCCGGTTTGGTAAAAACGCTCCAACCACACACGCACACACACACACACACATTCACTACCTGTGTAAACCTGAAATCTCGTGTTGTTGTTGTTGTTAATTCTCGGTAAAGAATTTCTCGAAGGAGTTTAAAAGAATTTATCGGAATTGAATTTTATTAAAATTTAATAATAATAATAATAATAATAATAAAAAGAATTAAGAATGAATTTTTTTTTTTTTTAACGAGTCGTCGTCGACATTCTCGTCGACGATAATTTCATCTTCAGTATCAATTTTTATTTAAGTGGTACTTAACGATATCGATAAGGAAGGGATCCATTTAAAAATTTTGCATTCTGCTACTTTTTTTTTTCGTATTCAATTTTATTTCGCACGGTTGCAACGATTGATTGACATGAAAGCTTCGTGTAAGGTAGATAAGCTAAATTTCTCTCTCTCTCTCTCTCTCTCTTTATTTATAAAAAATAATAATAATAATAATGATAGAACATATGAACAATGTAATGTAAATGATTACGATAGATTATATTTCTTTTTAAAAGCGTATTAAAAAAAAAAAAAATATCTTAGGTCATGTTTTTGTTTTGATTTCCACGTGGTTATTATTATTATTATTATTATTATTATTATTATTATTATTATTATTATTATTATTATTATTATTATTATTATTATTATTATTATTATTATTATTATTATTATTATTATTATTATTATTATTATTATTATTATTATTATTATTATTATTATTATTATTATTATTATTATTATTATTATTATTATTATTATTATTATTATTATTATTATTATTATTATTATTATTATTATTATTATTATTATTATTATTATTATTATTATTATTATTATTATTATTATTATTATTATTATTATTATTATTATTATTATTATTATTATTATTATTATTATTATTATTATTATTATTATTATTATTATTATTATTATTATTATTATTATTATTATTATTATTATTATTATTATTATTATTATTATTATTATTATTATTATTATTATTATTATTATTATTATTATTATTATTATTATTATTATTATTATTATTATTATTATTATTATTATTATTATTATTATTATTATTATTATTATTATTATTATTATTATTATTATTATTATTATATTCATTTTTCAATTTTTTTTTTTTCTTTTTTTATTATAACTTGTGACGGTTGAGTGTAATGGTGTAGATGATGATGATGATGATGTTTTATTTATTTCATTTTTTATCACTTTTCGTGACCTTTTTCAATAATTTACCAACTATAAATTGATTATTATTATTATTATTCTTGTTTTTTAAGTTGTATGTGTTACGTACATAAGAAAAAGTGATTTTTAAAAGGGGTTGTGATGGGAGCAGTAAAAAAAAAAACCAGCTTTGCGTTTGTTGCGATCAATAAAACGAAAATCTATTGATTATCAATAACAACAACAACAACAAACAACAACAACAACAACCCTAACAATATCGATTACAGTGAATTTAAATTGTGTAAAAATTACATTAAATTTTTTTTTTTTTTATTATTATTATATTCGAAACGTTTTTTTCATTTTGTTTTGCGTGATTGCGTTTTAAATTAATGTTAATGAAACGTTTTAACTGTAAAAATAATTAATGTTCTCCGTCAAAATGACAACCGAGTTATAATTAAATAATATTAAGGTGTAATATTTAAAAACCTTTGCAATTATTTAGGTTCACGATCGGTCGTGGTTTTGTTGTTTTTCGTATTCTATGACCCTTTTTTTTTTTTTTTTTTTTTTTTTACAAGCAAAAGGTTATAAATAGTCCTAAACTGATAATGCTAGTAGTGGTGTTTGAGGATTGAGGTGGGAAGAAAGCAAAAGGTTTTTATTTTATTTTTTTTTTTTAAACGTAAACTCTAGGGTAAGGAGAAAATTTTAAGGTACGATACCACGTTAACATGACCTAGCATTTAGTAGTGTGAAGTAAAAAAAAAAAAAATTGAAAACGGGCGCCTAAAAAAAAAAAAATGAACGAGCCCTAATTGTGGAAACATTCCTTAACGTACGTTGTAATTTGACTTGGAATTATATATATCGGATTAACGAACTTAATACAATTTGTGAGACGGGAGACAAGGGAGTGGGAGAGGGGGAGTGGTGGGACGAAGACAAAAGGTAAAGAAGAAGCAGAAAGCATTAT